AATATTCATTATTAATAATGAATCATATATACAAGTAGTTTTCAAAAACCTATTTATTATTAATTGTTTATTATATTTGATTAATGAGATGATACATATAATAATGAATACATGTATCAGATACATTATACGTTATATACTGCACTTTTTCTTTATGTAATGCCATAATATGTCTAAAATTTAACTTTTTATAAGCAAAACTACTTGTTCCATAATGTAGCAAAACACAATAAAACTTTAGTGAAATTGTCAAAAGGAGCAAAAAATATATAAAATATTGTCTATGCAAAGATACTACTCTATGTGAACCAAATCTTCTTCTGGTGATGGTGTGACTACGCCCTTAGGTTTTGGTGGATCATCATTCTCACTAACGTATGCACACTTAGCCTTCTCACTACCTTAACTCCACATCAATGCTCCATATCTTTTGCGTAGGTATTCATGACGAAAATCAACAAATGATATTTCGATTTGGTCGCTCAGATACTCCACAAATGTAGCAACATATAACCCGCAGTCTCTACAAAAATGCAGAATATAAATTATAAACTTAAATGATACATGATTAAAAATGCATAATATAAATCAGAATACTTACAGGCTAGCACTCTTTTGTGGTACAATGTCTTGTGCAAATTTAACAATGAAAGGAACTTGTGCCTCCAAAAGTGAACCAGTAATGTTGTCCTTGTACGCATCACAATCACCAAAGTTTGTTAGTTCAGTTTCTTCAAAGAATCCATTGTTCATTAGGTAAGAAGGAAGCATTTAAGACAACATTTTTATCTCGTGAGGAATTGCATTTTTCCTTGAGCCTATTGATGAGTCATACACTCTTATCACCCTTTTTTTCAATTCAACAACCGCCAGCACCCAATGAAATTCTTAACCGCAGTTAATCGGGATGTAGACCTCATCTACAAGAAAGCAGCTGGGATTTCAAATCCTTTGATGATGTTAGTTATTGACCTCTCATAAACAGATATAGCTGAAGCGCGATCAATGTGTTCTTGGGTATACTAATAAGATCATCATCATTAGCCATGTAATACCTATCATAACAATTTTTGACGTGTGATATTAACAAGCAAGGGTAGGGGTGAAAATGGTTTCCTTCGTACCAAACACACCCTAAAACTTGTTTAATGCACTTTAAGCAATGTCAATACTAGTACATGATTTGCTTATTTTACACTATTATTTATTATCCAATATAAATTAAACAAATAAAAAAACTATATTATAATTAACAAAAGAAATGTACATTTAAAATAGATATATTTGGAGGGCCAAAGACTTCACATTTTCAATTATAGAGAAAAATAATTAGTTTTATATAAGAAGATAAAAAGGAAGAGAAGTTACAATATATTTGGTAATATCATGAATTTTGAGTAAATAAAAATTAGAAGCTTAACTCATTTGGCTAATCCATATTTTTATAGGTTGAATATGGATATCAACCCATATTTTACCCATGAAAAAAGTCACTCACCCAACCCATTAAATATGGACGGGTTATCAAAATATGGGCTCATTTTGCCGGGGCATAACGTATTAGTGTCTACTAGAGTTCAAAATTGTCACACATTTTATTTTATTTTTGCCCTAACAGCTGACTTAAGTTTAACCATTTTTCTATAGATGTGCATTATGTTAGTGAAAAACTTACAAGATAACAAAAAATACAAGATTACAATTGAAAATAGAAATGAAGAAATAAATATCTTAAGGTTGAGGCGCGGATATCTCGTTCTCTTTAAGGAGATTCAAGTCCACTGCAGCAAATGTTTTTCACCGGTCTAGCAGTAGTCCTCTTTGACTTGTCCCCTCCAGGATACAACAGCATTCGCAAAGTATAACTCAACAACTCTGGACAAGAGTTGAGTCCAAAGTTCCACAAAAAAAAAACACCTCCCTTTAACTAATAAAAACTCTTTTTTTGACAAACTTTATGCACTCTATATTTTCCTTGTGTTTACCTAAACCAAATGAAGACTACCACTATTTATAGCTGAGGAAGTCTTCTTACCAATTGATAGGAAGATAATGGATAGTAAATAGTGAAGATAAATGACCTTAGGAGTTACATAGGTTACAAGGATCATGGAGGAGTAAAGAATGGAATAATGAATCACTAAGCCACCAACGGCTTGCTGCTGCACCAAAAAGTTTGTAACATATGCACTAACTCCATTTGGAGTAATGCTGAACCGGTAATGCAGCAATTATGATTGTTTTTACATCCAACATTTTGTAACCTATGAAAAGTGAGAAGTCAACCAATGGCCAGAAAATCAATATCTGTGTGACTATGCAGAATATTGCAAAATTTAATATATATTAGAATATTAAAATGCCACACTACCACATTCTTATATTTGTAGGAACAAATGGTGAAACCTACTTCAACACAGCAACTTTAGTCTCTTGTGTGCAAAATTTCCCAAAAAGTCCTGTGGTTGGGATTTTCTGGCTTAGGTGGTGCTATTTTAACTCAGATATATATATGCAGTAATCACACTTCACTTATATTATTTATGATTGCCGTTGGACCAGCAATGGTGATTGTAGCTCTCATGTTTATAATCAGGCCTGTTGGAGGCCACAAACAAGTTAGGCCTTCTGATGGACTAAGTTTTTCATTTGTTTACATTTTAGCTTCTTACTTAATGGGAGTTATGCTTGTTGGATTGTTAGCATTTTAATATTTTTTATTATATTATTAATTTGCACCTTTGTCCGTTTGGCAGTATCTATCCAGTCAGCATGTTGCATGCATTTTAGGAGTTACAAACCTCACTCTTAATGTGACATTTCATCTACTATCAGTTAGGCTTTATTGCCATTCTTCATTAGTGATAAATGTTGTAGAGAACGTTGGGAAGTTATGGTCTTTGTGCAGCATCTTCCTTTTGTCCGTTGAGTCTTTGCACATTGGTGGTCTTTAGTACGTTGCCCACTTTACTTCACTCTACTATAAATAGTGGTGGTCTTCATTTGTTTTGTAAGACACACAACACACTAGAAAAATATAGAGTGAAAGAGTTAGTCAAAAAAGAGACTTCTTATTAGTTGAAGGGAGGTGTTCTTATTTGTGGAGCTTTGGACTCAACTCTTGTCCAGAGTTGCTGAGTTAAAGTTGTTGTATCCTGGAGGGGACAACTTAGGAGGACTACTGCTAGACCAGTGAAAACATTTGTTGCAGTGGGCTTGAATCTTCTTAAAGAGAACGAGATATCCGCTCCTAGCCTGAATAGATTTATTTTCTTCATTTTATTTTCAATTGTTATCTTGTAAGTTTTCACTAACAAAGACTTAATTTATTGATGTTAGCCAAAATGTTATTATAATCTTCACAGTTATTTTATTTGTCATTTTGATAATCCCTATTGTGATCCCTATCTATTTGAGTTTTACTCAAGAGCCAAGAGTAGTACCAGAAGAAGAGGCACTTCTATCTCAGTCAGGTGATCAAGGTCCTGGAAGATCAGAACACGACGATGGTCAAGAAATTATATTTAGTGAGGCTGAAGAGGAGAAGCCGAAGGGAGTAGACTTGCTTCATGCTTTAGAAAAGCAGAAAAGAATCGCGCAATTACTAGTGAGACTAGCAAAAGGAGCTGTGAGGATCAATAGAAGACGAGGTCCTCGAGGCTTTTAATAAAAGCAGATTTCTGGGTTATGTTTTTCTCATTGCTTTTCGGTTCTGGATCTGGTTTGACTGTCATTGATAACTTGGTACAGATGAGCCAATCTTTAGGATATGAAAACACACATGTATTTGTTTCGATGATCAGCATATCATATGGAACTTCCTTGGCTGTATTGGAGGTGGATACTTTTCTGAGATAATAGTCAGGTATTAACTTATCTTAAATGCATATTCAAATCTCATAAATCTCTCACACGACCTTGTCAAACAGGGATAATGCATATCCATGGCTGTTGCTCAAGTCGTGATGGCCTTTGGTCATTTCTTCTTTGCTATGGGTTGGCCTAGAGCTATGTATATTGGTACTCTTTTGGTTGGACTCATTGGGCGATTGTGCCAGCAGCTGCTGCTTCTGAATTGTTTGGGTTAAAGAATTTTGGGGCTTTGTACAATTTCCTCACTATATTGCCAACCCAGCTGGTTCATTAGTATTTTCAGGTCTTATTGCTAGTAGTATATATGACAGGGAAGCTGAAAAGCAAGCTCAACAGCACCAATAAGGACGTTTCAATTTGGCATCGGTTTTGACAAGTTTTTTAAACATGGATGAACCTCCCTCTAAAGTGTGAAGGTACCATTTGCTTCTTCTTGCCTTCCTTGATAATGTTAGGACTCTGCATTATTGCTGCTGTTCTAAGCATGATTCTAGTGTACCGCACAAAGACTCTGTACGCTAAATCTGTATGGAAGATCTTGTACGTAATGTATCCTCGGCGGATAGAAATATAAGCATCCTGAAAAAGGACATCTTCTGTCAATTCATATTTCCAAATATAACCATAATGTGACACTGGATACCATCTCCAAAATACTTCCAGGTGAGAGAGCAAACGACAAAGAAGACAATAGCCTGGTTTTGCTGTAGCAAAAACATTCCTTGGTTGAGTAAAATAATATTGTATTGCAAGTCATTTCTGTATATTTGTAATTTCTCAATCTTTAAGTTGTTAAATTTTGATTGTCAACCACCATTAGTAACAGTGTTGATTGATTTTTTGCTAATTGGCAAATCCTTTTCTGTCAGAGATTGGTCCAGTGACATTGACAACAATGACAGACAATTAACAACATACCTAATTTAATTTTAATCCCACAAAGTGAGATCTGGAGAGGCTAGGATGTACTTGCACCTCTTCCCCTACCTTGTGAAGGTAGAGAGACTGGCCACTCAGTTATTTTAAAATAAATTCTTGATAGCAGCAGCTACACAGATGACATCTAACTATACACAATAATGAAGAAAACATGTAGATCAAGTCAAAGCTGAACACCATGAAAAATATCGAGAGCTTAAAAGAAAAACAGTCTTATTTGATCTATACACCAGAGAAAAAAGTCTTTAAAGTTTTCACCAGAAAGTTTTAAAGTTTCAGTAACAAGCTAAATGACAGGCATAAAATGCCTAGCGCCCTGTATATGCAAAAGGAAAAACTCTAATAGAGTATCTTCACCAGTAAAGCTGTATGTACTATGGGTTTCATTGTGGATGCGGTGGTTTACTATCAATTATCAACCATGCAACAATGCCAGCGGCAAGTATGACCCATCCGAAAATGTCATAATTGAGATCACTGCTCTTCTTTTTTGAACTCTGCAATGCAAGAGAAGACACATTGGTGAATCAGCAATAATATTGATAAATCGAAAATGAATCTGACAAAACCACCAGATTTTCACAGAGCTTCAGTACCAGTCTTAAGAGGACTTTAACTTTCAAATTTCCAGGGAGGATAAAGTATATGTAACATTTAAAGGAGTACAAAATCAAATAGCAAAAATTAGACTCTGTGAGGAAGGCATAACGATTTATTCTGAAAAATTTAAATGGAAAAAAAAAATCAAGACACGTCAATTAGTAAGGATTATACTGAACACAGAAGATAAGATATAGCTCCTATCAAGAGATAAGGGGTGAGAACTAAAGACTAAAGAGATACCTTTGTGCTTGTCGATGTTGAAGGTTCTGCTGCCATAGTTTGTTGAATGGGACCATGTCTGTGCATTTCCATGTGCAATTCTTGAGCCTAAATATAATGTAGAAGAACATAAATCGAGACTCCCAACCATAAAATGAGACATTTCATGAGTAAAGATATCACAAATTTGACAAAATAAAACAAACTAAACAATAGAAAATTTCCACAAGCTGCACCACCTAGTAAGGACATTTCTAAAAGACCAATCCCGGGCGTGTGGGAGGTTTTGTTGAGTCTCACATTGAGTGTGGGAGGATTGAACAACCCCCATCACTCAAGCTAGCTTTTGGGTTTGAGATAGACCCAAGAACCATTTTCTTATCATATCCAGACCCTTGTGAGATCCACTTCTACACCAACGAAACCAAGGAAATACCCAGCCAGCCAAACAACAGACAGCTACCTAATAAACTCCAACGGAACCTAGAATCTCACACCCCATAATTTTGTGAATGGCAATAGAATAAAATAAAGGGATACTTGAGAAGATGTACACTTCGCCATCTAGTTTACCAAACCTAAACCGAAGTACACACTACCTATACACTGTACATATTTTATTAACTAGATGGCCCAAAGGTTTGGGCGGTAATTTTTCCTAAAATAAATATTGATGTGGAAAAAGAATTTGCAAAATTTGGAACTTCCCTTTTCCTACTAGATAGGTAAATTCTGAAGGATGCAGTCACTTGGTAGTGTAGTGATTGGTGCATCTTTGCTTCAAATTTTATACCAGTTATTTCTTAATTTCCTTCCTTATGAGTCCTAATTTTATTTTCCTTATCTGTTGCTACTTTTGTGAATTTCAATCGATGTAAGGAATGGAAACCTGAAGAGGACGTCAAGAAAGCCTTCAGGAACAAAATTAGTATGATGAGCAAATTGATGCACATACTAGCGTCACATATATAATATGTATCACTGCATGAGCACAGGTAACGAGGAATAACACACATTTTGATAGAAGACTCTATCTTTCATTTTTAAAGTAATTGCACTTCTTCATCTCCCTCAATATCAACGATGAATGGCCATCCAACAATAAGCGTCTTTTGGCATAACAGTAAAGCTATTAACTTAAAGTGATAATCCATCCATCCTTTACCGCAAGATGTTTTCTTACTTATCAGTCTCTAAGATAATACAAAAGATATGTCATATGAAATAACTGTTTCGCCTACGTACACCGCACATAAAGACCTACAAAATGGCTAACTATAGCTCAATGTTAAACTAACCAAAACTGAACAGACGTTCTAAAGCGATCAGCTTTGAGCGTACATCAAGTCAATCAACATGGACTAAATTCAAACTAGCAACTTTGACTTCTAATCACCCTACCCGAACAGACAAACTGACGAAAGTTATTGGATTGGACATGTTATCAAACACAGAGTGAAAAAAGCCATTCAATATTCTATAAATTAACATGATTTCAATTATGTCAAATAATTACAACTCGGTTAAAATCATAAACTGAAAAATATTGGCATTAATATGAATTTGTGAGCATATAATTTCAGTAGTTATAGACAGTAATAGTTTTTTGGGGTATTTATTAGGCTTTGATTTCACGCGTGATATTTCATGGTGCAAGACTTTATGAGAGTTAAACGTGGTGATAAGTTCAGTTTGAGAAGAAGTCAAGGAGGAAAATTAAATGCATTAAATGAGCCTCAAGAATCAATTTAGGTTCTTCATATATAGTTATGCTTAAAAATATTAATCTCGGTTGAACTTACAATTTATAGTAAATTTTGCATAGTTTTAAACATCTAAAAATTTAACTTATTAAGTTGATGTAATTCAATCTAGCATCAAGTTTAGTCAAATAGACTCTCGAAATATGGAGAGTATCACATAAATTGGACCGAGGCACGGTAATTAGTAAGATCTCATAATGCTCTGATTGACGACGAAAATTTGGCTCTAATGTTGACTAAATTTTACATGTATAATGACAAATGATGTGAAGGGTAATCTAAAAAGGTGTCACCAAAACTATTGGTGACGATATCACACATCGTTTAGGTGCAGGGTGGATGTGGAGGCTTGCCTCCGAAGTCTTGTGTTAAGAAGGTGCCACTGAAACTTAAAGGCAAGTTATACATAGTGGTGTTTAGACCAACTATGTTGTATTGGCAGAATGATAGCTAGCCAAGAACTCCCACAATCATAAGATAAAAGTTGCGGTAATGAGGATGTTGAGATAGATGTGTGGGCATACTCGGAGAGATAGTATTAGAAGTGAAGATATTTGGGACAAGGTGGAAGTATCCCCGATGGAGGATAAGATGTGAGAAGCAAAACTGAGATGGTTTGTACATGTGAAGAGGATAGGAACATATGCCCCAGTGAGGAGGTGTGAGAGGTTGACTATGGATGGATTCAAGAGAGGAACAAATAGTCCAAAGAAGAAGAAGTATAAGGAAGAGGTGATTAGAAAGAGCATGACGAGGTTACAATTACCGAGAAAACAGCCTTAGCTAGGAGGTTATGAAGGACGCGAATTAGGGTAGAAAGTTAATAAATAGTTGGGTGTCATCTTGTTTTCCTTACATACTAGTTAATTATAGTATTACTCTTGTAGTTTCTTGTCTTTCTATTTCTGCTACTACATGTTTCTTGTACTTCAATTATCATAGTATTTTGTTGTAGTTACTACACCTTTTCAGAGTGTTTTGTGATGCTCTCTATAGTATTTTTCCATAGCTTGTCCACTTCGTCATTTTTTTCAATCTACTTTAAATTGCTTTTCCATGAGTCAAGGGTCTTATCAAAAACCACCTTTGTACTTCCGAAGATAGGGGTAACGCCTACGTGCAATCTACCCTTTCCACTGAATATTATGTTGTTGTAGGTAATCTAATACTCCCTCCGCTCCATATTTATGGTATTTTAAGCCTGGACACACCCCTTTAAGAAGTCACTTACTCATAGAGATAAGAAGTGATTGCACCTTGATTAAATAATTTTACTTTAATATGATTTCTTGGTTAGGTAAAAATTCACTTATTTAAGTGTAAATTTGGAAAAGAACTATTAATAACTTCTTGATTATGTTAAAAACTATCTATTTTGGACTAAATGTAAAAGTTAAAAATACTATAATATGGATAGGAGGAAGTAAGGGGCAAGAAAAGATACACAAAAAATTACTACAATATCGATATACACCAATTACAAAGGACCACGTAGGAATGAACTTGAAAAAAAAGAATTGAGTGCGAAAATTGGGAATAAGCGAGGAAAAGGCAATGGCACACAACCACGTGTAGCAGTTTGATATCATTCATTTGGAATACCTAAATACAACATAAATATGCAAAGCATTAAACATATCGAGACTTTGCTAAAAGAACAACAAAAGTTTCACCTTAGCAGCAACATCCAAAGATTTGCGGTAAAGGTCATTTGAGGGATCCTGCATTCAGAGTAGCAAAAATATAAGCTACTTGCAACAGTAAAGCACACATACATTTGGAATGTCTGTTGAGAAAGATATACCGCATCAGATGCCTGCTTAAAGCACATAGTTGCTTTTTCAAAGTAAAGAGCAGCTGCATCCATATCAGTAACTAATAAACCATATGAAGTATAGGCATTTCCCAAACACCAAAGCACATCATGCTTCGTTTTAGGGTTCAAAGTCAATGCCTTCTCCAACTTTGAGGTTGCATCTGCCAAGTTAATTCCCCAAATAAACGACAACAAATACACATTTCATCAGCCTCTTAGAATTTCAAAAACTCAAAGAACAAGAACAGCAAACAAAAGAAAGAACAATTTTTTAGCTGAAGAAACACACTATAGGTTAAATTAGAAATTTAACTAACCGATCCTAAAAAATCTAATTTATAACAAACTATTTAATCAAGTCCCAAAACTCAAGCAACTCAATACCAGAAATCATTTGTTTCGATTTGGCTCCATGCTCGAACTGTGCTAGATTCAGCAATGCACGTCCCCACCTAGCCAACTTCTGCATTCAACATCACATAACAAAAACAACAAACTCGTTTATTCAACAAAGCATCGAAGTTCAAATTAAACGCAAAACATATCAAACAGCTGAAATCCAATTAGAACGATAAAACAGAAACGATAAATGAAGAGAAAGAGGAGATACTGACATCACCATCAAGCGGATTCTGAGCATAAGAGGTTTCAGCACTCTTCCGATCGCGTTCGAGGGAGAGGCGCATCTCCATTGCTGAGGTGCTTCGATTCGATTTTAGGGTTCTAGTTAAATTTGATTTTAGGGTTCTAGTTAAATAATGGTCGACACGTCATTAGTTTGAGCGCTGCCACGTGTATTAGTGAGCCACTCAATGGCTGCCAACTAATTAAACACTTTACACGTGCATTTTTGAACTAAAAAAAAAATAAAATTAATTAAGGGTATAGTTGTCATTTCAGCATTTTTTTTTACTGTTGTAGGCCTCAAAAATCACTCCTACTCGCGCAAAAAACGTGCACATCACGCGTTTTGCCAGGTAAGACACGCGTGTTTATTTATTAAAAGGTTGGATAGTTAAAGTGTCTGTTTGTGCACTATGAAAGTTGGAGGTCAAAGTTAAAATTTGAAGCCAAGTTTAAGGTCCAATATATGTATTATCCCGAGAAAATATTGTGGGCTTTTTTTTGAATTCTAGGCTTTTAGTAAATCATAATCTATTCTATTGGGCTACGAAGAAATTTAACCGAAAATGCCATATATAGCCCATTTCAGGACTACTAATCAATAAGAGCTGAAATGTCTCTCTTTAGGCCACTACTACACTTCTGATGAAATTATATTGACTTTTATCCATTATTTGGATTTGACTTCATGACATATTATATAGTTTAAGACAATGACATAAGCGCGCAGTGCGGCATATACTATTCACGCATGTTCCGTGAATGGCGGTGCATATTTTCATGCACTAACAACTTCACTAATACTGAGGAGTTGATTGATAATCATTACACAAAAGAATAAAGATGACACAAATACGTTAAATAATCAAAAAAAAATTGTCCAATTTGTCTTTCTAGTGGGACATGCAACACATCTTTTCAACCATAAATACTTTTTTGTTCTTGATTAAAGTTTTTAGATTTGACTTTTTTTTGAATATAGAGTCATATTTATTAAGGAATATTTTACCCTTAAATGTGAGAGTTTTCAAAGCGAATTAAAATTTGATCTGGATATCAAATACTGTTTAAAAAAATATCTTAGACTATTTACGTAGCAATTATGGGTGGAAGTTATTGCAGGAGATATACCACGTGTGATACAGACGTGGCATATTCTCTTTCGATAATATAAAGACTGAGGAATAAGAGCCTCTTAAAACTTACCATAGGTGTATCATGTATGATAGGTATATACATATATTATATAATACTATTAATTAATTAATAAATATTTTTGTTTTATTAAAATAACTAAATTATGATTATTTAATGTGATTTTGTAGATAATCTTTTTACCATGAAAGTGTTCATACGATAAATACTTTTTCGTCCCAATTTATTTGTTTTACTTTTTCTTTTAATTCAATCTATCAATCCTTCAACTTTTTGTAACAAGTTAAGATTATAATATAAGATATTTTAACATATTAAAGTCAAAATAGACAAATCAGAACGAAAAAAATAAAAATAAAATCAAGTGTGGTTCAAATAAAGAGGTTATGCATGTAGTGTCAATTTTTTTGTGGGAATCCATAGACATGTGAACACCAAAAATAAAACGGGAGAAAGAAGACAGAAAATGCGTTACAAGACCTTGACCTAAAGGTTTTCATAGCATTTTCAACCTTTTTCACTATAAACATTTTTAAAATATCAAAAAGACTTGAAATTGTATCAAATGCATCTTCAAATTATCAATCACTTTATTTAGTACGTTTCTTTCTTTTTTTTTTAATTTTTTGTGTACCTTTGACTATCCACTCAATGCGTAAGATTTATTCAAGTCTAGAGGAACATATTTTTTTTTTTATATATATTTATGCTTAAATGCGAAATCTTTGATCAAGCATAGTAGGAGAATCCATTCATTCCATTACATTTCCATTTTTTAAGTTTCTCACTCAATATTTGATAATAATTATATTAATCTGATCTTAAACCAAAAAATCTCACTTTGAAGTAAAATATTTTCTATCAAAAACACATATCTTATATTTATTAATCGGATATAAATTCTGCATATGTCATGCAAACAAGGTTTTACCTTTTATATCTTGATTTATGCACAATAAATAAACAGAAAAGGGTCATATTTGCCCTTGTACTCTTAGAAAAGGGATATATTTGTTTGATATATTTGCCCCTTCCATCCAACTTTATGTACATATTTACCTCACTTTTATTATCATATGTGGCGCCTACGTGGAATGCGTACACGGTTATATTTACTTTTCTATTAAAAATTTCTCCTAATTTAATTATTATACACATTCAATTTAACCCATAAAGTCAATTCCTAATGCTTATTTAGCAATTCCTGTTGCGACTTGGATATACATATGGAATATGTCCTTCTACCCAACTTGTCCTTCCCATCACCATTATCAATAACTCGAAAAAGAGGAAAACAGAGGAGTGATAAATCAAGTAAAACTGAAGCATTTTTTACACTCTCAAACAAACAACAAATGAACCCTAATATATTCCCCAACAAAAACATATTTTCACAATCACGAGATACACACAGGAAAATTCTTAGAAAGCTGTCATCGATCATATTCCTTAATCCACAGCTTAATTTCTGTATAAACCTAAAAGTAGGGAATTTTCAATCAATCAACTCTTCATCAATTGAAAACAAGAATCCCAGAATTTTAAAATAAAGGAACAACCTGTGAGAGAACAATTGAAAGTTCTTTCTCCATTTCTTTGGTTACCAAAGCAGACCCAGTTTCCTACAGAGGAGTAGAGTTCTAGTTTCTGTAAATAAAGGAACTCTCGAGTGTTCTCGGTTAAAGAATGTGATTTTCTCTCAAGAAACGTGATAATGAAATAAAGTATTAGGAGTTGGATTTTATGGGTTAAATGGGTGGGTATAATGTTGGGTTGGATATAATAATTAAGTTAGAAGAAAATTTTAAATAATAAAAAATATATATATCCATGTAGGCGTGCCACATAAGCACCACATATGATACTAAAAGTAAGAATATGAGACTTAATTGTTCAAGGGTAAATATGTACCTAAAGTTGGATGGGAGGGGCAAATATATCAAAAAAGTATGACGAATGACAAATATAACCTTTTTCTAAGAGTACAAGGACAAATATGACCCTTTTTCGATAAATAAATCATCTTATGAATTGTAATTTATCGAATTATTATTAAATTCACGTGTTAATCATTATAAAATGATTAATATTACAACTCTTATAAAAAAGTTCCAATATCCTTACAACACCAAAATCATTTGTCAATAATAACCAAACTTAGAGCCATAACTATGATCAATAATCTTGCAAGAATGGATTTTTCATTTAATAAAAAAATTCCATAAATTAATTTTTTACACATAAAGTTATGTTCGTTTGGGATGACAAAAATATTCCTCTAGTGGGAGAGTTGCAAAATAGTGAAGAAGAATAATATTGTTAGCGCTAAAAACCAAACAAGAATAATATTTTACTTTTCTAAATTAAGGAAAAGAATCTATATATTATAATAAAGCTGAATATAAAAACGGTGATGTGGCGCTCTCTAAGGGCTTCATTCTTATTTATCTTTTTTTGTGATTTTATTAGCATTTTTCTCTTATTTCTTTCAATTATTTTATTTTCTTACCTCTTCAATTACATAAATTTTACTCCTAATAATAAATATTAATAAATTTCATAACTCCTAACCTTTCATATTCATAACCCTCAAATAATTTAATATACAAATTTATTACATCCTAAAATTACACTTATAAAAATCTATTTTGAGACATATGCGATGATTATATTTTTACATTTTTCCTTATTCTTCATCTTTTATCTCTTTTATTGGTTAATTTTGTCTTGTTTGATCTGATTTTGCAGGATGAAGATTGTTAGATATTTCTGTGCAATTCGATTTTACAAGGTAAACTATTTGATATGCCTAATATGGTTATCACTTTTTCTTTGGTGCAATTATACATTCAATATTATTATTTTTGAATTCATGATACAATGAATCACAATTTTTTTTCGAAAAAATTGCTTGATTTTTTCTCTTTGCTTCTCTTTGTAATTTATAGCGATTTTTTTTTCTTCTTTTTGTAGTTTTTGGAGCATTATGTAATGTTGATAACAAGATCCTTCCTTTATCTTTAACTCATAATTAAATATTCTTTAAAGTTTTTATTTGATTAGTTAACTTCATTTTTATATTTTTGTCGTTATTGTTGTTGTTGTATGATTAACTTATTTTGTTTTCATCTCAGGATATTTTTGAAAATAGAACGTGAAAAGAAAGTCAACACACACATGTATGCTACTCAATAAAGCATGTATATATAATTTTGTGTCATGTAAATCAACTTTTAATAACCATTTTAAAGCATGTATATATAATTTTGTAGTCATGTAAATCAACTTTTAATAACTATTATGATAGAACATGAGAATGTAAAGTTAATTCATAATTTTTATAATATTGTATAATTTATAAAAAAAAAAAATTATTGATATGGAACTTTGTAGTCTTCATATTTTTAGTTTTTATTATTATTAATATTAGAAGTTCTCAAGTTTTTGAGATTTTCAAATATCATTATTACAATTTGTTTGGTCAGAAATTAAAATACAAAAGTATTTATTTAGGATAAAAATGATTTAGTAAAATTATTTATCAATTACTGCTCCTCCATTGGTTCATAATTTTTAATATAAAAATTCAAGTATCTTTATGTTCCGTACTTTAATGACTTTTGATGATCATAACTCCTAAATTATATTAATAATCATATTCATAATATCATTTGATATTTCATATTGTTGTCCTATAAATAGGGGCATTATAAAAATATTTATAAAAACATGATCAAATTTTATATGTATAGTAAAATTAAGATTATATATATATAACTAAAAAAATTATTTCCATAACTCTTTTTTTTTTTCGAGAAAAACTTTAAATTCCATAATTTAATTTTCTCAATAACAAATTTATGTTAAAAGTGTTAAAATAAATATCATATATATAAATTATTTTTCTTCTTAACAACATAAATGGAGTTTAAATAAGGATAATAAGAGTAATATTTTTTCTCTTTTCTTTTACCA